ACTATGGTCCGGGCTGGGACTATGAACGGGGACGAGGTGGCCGACACGGTGGCAATGGGAACCGCAGTTGGAACGGCGGATTTCGGCAAGGTCGGAATAACCAGCATCACATGCTGTAGCGGTTTCAGAGGGTGCCGCCACAAGTTCTACCGCAACGCCAGGCACCAACACCTCCACAGTCGTCGAACCAATCAGCGAGCCAGCAACAGTATGCTCCTCAACCTTCGTAGATGACCTCTGGGCTGGCGCATCAGCCACCGTAGGTGCAACCAGGGATGGGGGTAGAGCAAAAGCAACCAGATGCCAATGGACAGCAACAAGGAGGAGGGGAATGTCTATAGAATATTGCAAAAGGAAAAGCTTTGAATGAGCACAGCTTGGACAAGGACATGGGACAGCAGCCGACGTCTCAAGTTTTGCAGGGTTCCTCCTCGGCTGCTGGAACGTCAGAGGTGCGGGCTGAGAATTTGGAGATTGTGAAAGCCAGTACTAGTGCTGTGGATGTGCAAAGGACAGCTACTACCAAGATGTGGAGTCAAGGGACACCTAATGTTTGAATGCACGGCGGTGGTCTTCTGTGAAATTTGTAAGAGTACTGATCATGCTATGAGTCGCTGTCCCATTCTCAAGTAGCCCAAACCGGTAGTACATTTGATTGGTCAGGCTGCTGATCCACTTGCAAGCTTTTACATTCCTCATGCACATATCCAGCCAATCAAGAAAGACTCTAGATTGGCTTTAGTCTCTACCATCGGCAAGAACTTGACAAAGGAGGAAGTTGTGGCATATTTGAGGGTTTTGGTCTCTGACACTTTTGAATGGGAAGTGAAACGCCACAATGGTTTTGAGTTTAAAGTTCTATTCCCTACAAAAGATGACCTTACTAAGATGACAAGGTTTAATGCAGAGATGAAGGAAGGGGTGACGAATCTAAGGAAGAAGAGGAATATTTTGGGCATGTGTTGCCAGTGGTTTGGATGCGGGTCACGAATCTACCAACGATTCTGAGGGAATATGTCATTTTGTGGGCACGAGGAACTCTCTTTGGTGTCACTCAGGAGGTGGACATGGTTACCACGAGAGCTAGCAACTTTGGACGGTTTACAGTGGCGGTGCTAGAACCTAATGCAATCCCGACAAAGCTAGATGTCATCATTGGCAACAGATACTTTTAGCTGCTCTTTGAGGTTGAACCATTTTCACCAAACATTGGATTGCGGAGCAGAGTGACCACTCAAAATGAGGGGATTAAAGATCACGGTTTTGGGGCAGCGAAGGACACCGAGATGAAGGAGGCAGAAAATACCACAGCCTCTATTTCATCAGATGCCAACATTGGGAACACAGGAGCTAGTCATGAGACCGGAAACGGAGATCTTGAGGCACAAATGATGGAAGATTTTTCAAATGAGGATTTGCTAGATGAAGAAAATAAACTGAGTGATGCAGCTTATACTTTTTAGGGGTTCAGAAAGGGAATTCGGTTGAGGTGAGGAATGCGGCAACTCTTGCAGCTTCGGTCCCGCATGTTTTGGTACTGGTTCCACATGTTCGGCTACTTCTCGATACTTTCAGGTACTTTTTCTCTTGTACTTCTTTTTTTCACTGTTCGATCTAAAATTTTATATTAATTTTTTGACCATTTTAGTGACCTCAAATGACAAAAACTAAAACTATAATTTCGTAGATCTCATCGACAGCTACAATTTTTATATGCAAAGTATCTTTATCCGTCGCCATAAATGAGAGAGATGATTTTTCTAAGACGACATGCTCTAGTATGCGATTAATATGCTGTTGAAACTTTATATTATTTTCTGACCATTTTGACAATGTCCAATAGAATATCTTAAAACTAAAAAGTTGTAGATCTTATCGAGAGCTACAACTTTCATATAAAAATCATCTTCATCCGAGATCGTATAAAAATACGATTTTGACTATGGAAACTTTTGCTATCCTGCCTGTGGCGCTTTCTTTTATCTCGATTGTGATGAACTGTCCATGTTTACCTGTCTGATCTGTATCTATGCTGCTCGGTTCCCTCACCTGCTTATGCTAGTCATAACAGGTCCTGTTCCTCTATTTTATCTTGCTATTAAATGAATACTCACAATTGGAACATCTTATGTTGGAACATTCGTGGCATCAATGCATCAGAGAAATGGGATGCGGTGCGAGATAAGATTGAAGAAAGCGCTTGTTTAGTTATCTGTCTTCAGGAAACGAAGAAAGAAAATTTTGATATTTGTTTCATCAGAAAGTTTGCTCCACGCCGTTTTGACAAGTTTGATTTCATCCCTTCAGTGGGTGCTTCGGGAGGCATTCTGGTCCTTTGGAATAGTGCTATTTTTTTGGGCCTGGTTGTTGACAAAAGAAGCTTTTGGCATCACTGTAAGTTTCAGTTCAGTGCATGACAATCAAACCTGGAAGCTAACAACTGTTTATGGACCATGTGATGGTCCTGCACGCACAGAGTTTGTCAACTGGTTCAGGGATCATGATATCAGTGACTCAGAAAACTAGATCGTCCTGGGCGATTTCAATTTTTATAGATCATTAAGTAATCGCAACTGGTGGTAATCTCGCTGACACGCTTATCTTCAATGAAGCAATTGGTGATTTGGGGTTAGTTGAGTTACCGCTGAAGGGGTGCGCCTTCACCTAGAGTAACATGCAGTACAACCCATTGCTGGACCAGCTTGACTGGTTTTTCACGTCCATCAACTGGACCCTAGACTTCCCTAAAACAGAGGTTCTCCCCCTAGCTAAGATCACGTCCGATCATATACCATGCAAAGTGGCGATCAGTACAAAAATACCCAAGACAAGTATGTTTCGTTTCGAGAACTTCTGGGCAGAACAAGATGACACTACTACATAAAGTTTACTGGAGGCGGGCGATTTGGGTTTCCCGCGGCGAGCAAAGCCGTCCTTGTGACCCTCTGAGCCACGGTAAATCATGGCTAGCTTAACTGGTGGCGGGCGGCTTTGCCCGCCATGTTAACTATTTACCGGCGGGCGGTGTAACGTGCCCGCTGCGGTAAATATCTTTACTATGGGCGGCACGTTACACGCGCCGCCGCGATAAATAGGTTAAACATGGCGGGCACCTTTTGTGGCCCCGCCGTGGTTATGTTGATTTGCCGTGGCGGGCTTTATTATTTGCCCACCTCGGTAAATTATTTCCTGAATTAAAAAAATAAAGCGAGGTATATATATATAATTCAAATAAAATACATCAAGCATATAAATTCAAATTCAAATTCAAATCACATCCAGATTTCATGATTAAACTTAAAAAGTATGCGGACATTACACATGAAATAATATACATGTATATATATATATATATATACATTCACTTAGTCGTTCTTGTCATCGTTAATTCATTACATTTACATATTAAAGTCGTTATACATGCGCTAAAGTGTAATCCTGCGGACGCATCATCGTGGGCCATTTCCTCAGCCTCTCGTACTCCGGTAACATCGCTAGCTGGCTGTTCTCATGGAAGAACGTGCCCCCTTCAAGCACGCATTTGTCTAAGACTAGAGGAGGTGAGAGTAGAGTAGAGTAGAGTAAGAGGAGTAGAGTAAGAGCTGCAGAGGAGGATAGTAGAGGAGTAGGCAGTAGAGGAGGAGGGAGTAGAGGAGTAGGCAGTAGATCGAGGAGGAGGGAGTAGAGGAGGAGGGAGTAGTAGTAGGCAGTAGTAGTAGTATACAACAGTAGTATAGCAGTAGTATAGGAGTAGTATAGGAGGACAGTAGTAGCAGACAGTATAGGAATAGATTAAGTAGAGAAATAGGTAGCACCACCACCAAAATAATATCAAATTTGGCAAAATTGCAGCAGAGTGGCCAATTCATCTCAAAATTCTCACAACTTTAGCATGTGATCAGTTTAAAGGCAAGGTGCATCATAGGCAGTGCCATATGCTCAGAATTTTGTCACAAATTTCTTTGGCATCATAGGCAGCAAAAAGAATTGAATTCAAATGCTACGGTTCAGCAAAAGCATCATAGATCAGTAGTATAGCAGTTCAAAATTCACCAAGTGTAGTTTATCCTGTACAATTTTCAGCCGTCCATTCCAAAAGGAGTTTACTATACCCCTTGTTCACAGCAGGTCATCTCAAAATTAAGTATAGGAATAGATTAAGTAGAGAAAGTAGTAGGCGTGAGTAATAGTATACTACTAGAAATTGTAGCAGAGAGTGACCAATTCATCTCAAATTTCTCACAAATAGGTTGTTGGAGACAATGTTGTTTGAGATTCGATCTTGTTGGAGACAACCTCAGTATAAATAGGTCACAAATTCCAGCTAAATATGGAAACAACTCAACCCTGTTGGAGATAAGCCTATAAAAGGGATTGTTAAAAAGACGGCCTGAGTTTCATGGCTAAATATGGGCGATATTGAAAATTCCTATCCACACAATTACGTGACTACATATTCAAAGTTGCTTGGCATAATGAGCATATAATTTATAACTAAGCTCGAAACAGCTCTAAGAGCTCTCTATGAGACCCTAATTCCTAAAAGCGCCTTTTAAACACTAAGTTAATGGAAGAATTAGAAGACTCCTCATCATACCGAAGGAAAGACAGTTTTGCATTTTCACAAGAGATGTAACAACGTAGTGGAACCTAGAGAAAGCTAGGATAGCCCAAATGTGAATCTCTAATTACATTTCAGATGGGGAAAATATAGCAAGATTACTACAAGAATAAAATTTGAGCTTTGGAGACAGCATTGTAATTACAGAACCAAGGTACTACGTAGTTCTTACCTCGGCCTAGTTCTTACCTCGGCCCGGGCGCAAAGAGTTCCAAGTGAGGAGGTAGCGGCTAGAGCCCGTCGTGCTCGAGAACGGGGCCCGGCGTGTGGACGGTGACCGGGGAGGAGGACGGGGAGGGAGGAGGGGGCCCGGCGTGTGGGACGGTGATCGCGGAGGAGCTCGGTGGCGGGCGCTAGGGTTCGGGGGACGGGCCCAGCCATGGAGGAGCTCGTGGGGCTGGAGCAAGGGTTCCGGGAGAGGAGGACAGGGGCGGGGCACGGCACGGGGGAGGAGGGCGGGAGGCGGGCGCGCGGTGTGTGGCCGGGCGCTAGGTTTCGGGGGACAGGGCCCATGGAGGAGCTCGGCAAGGCTGGAGCAAGGGTTCGGGGGAGAGGAGACGGGGCCCAGTGGAGGAGCTCGGCGTGATACTTCTCAATGGCGGCGATAGGGTTCCGGTGTGGTAGCCGGGAGGAGCACGGGCGGGCGCGGGCAAGGGAGAGGAGGACGGGGCGGCGGACGGGCACGGGAGGAGAACGGGGCGGGGGTCGGTCTGTGGCGGAGGAGCTCAATCGGGCGGTGGAGATGGTGGTGGCGGCGTGAGATTTTGCAGCAGCCCTTGGGGTTAAAACTGAACATGAAAGACCGAGAATGTTGAGGGTGGGGACGGCTTATATAGGTTATGATTAACCACGGCGGCAACGTAACAGCCCGTGCTGAAATGTTTACCATGGCGCGCTTGGTTAAGTTGCCCGCCGCGGGTAATCTATTAACTAAGAGGCTAAGAGCTAAAAAAAAAAGTAGCTTCTTCTAGTTCTGTGAAATAAACTAAGAGGCTAAGGCTAAGAGTTTATGCTAAAGAATAAAAAAATCATTTGTAACCTTATTATCACTCCACCGAAGAACAACGAGGAGCAGTACAGCTCTGCGAAACGAACACCGAAGAACCAGAAGACCCGTGGAGAAGATGAAGTAGGCGGCGTATTTATAGAGGCTTTACCGCGGCGGGCAGTTTAAACAACCCGCCACGGTAAATACTATTAACCGCGGCGGGCAATTTATGCCGCCCGCCGCGGTAAATATAAATTTTCTGCGGCGGTCAGTTAATGTGGCCCGCCGCGGTTAATCTTATTAACCGCGACGGGCCATTCATACCGCCCGCCGCGGTAAATATAAATTTCCTGCGGCGGGCAAGTAAGGTGGCCCGCCGCGGTAAACCCTTTTCCAGCAGCGGGCGCCTCGGTGGCCGGCCTCGGTGGCCGGCCACCGGTTAACCGTGGCGGGCAAAAGTGGTGCCCGCCACGGAGCCCATTTTGGCCACGCTGCGCAAATTGATTCGTGTAGTAGTGTGACTTCTTGGACATAGTATTTCACTGTTGGAACTCTGGGCCTATGTTGACTGATAGTGCCCAAAATATTTCGGCGAAGTTCAAAGCGCTGAGAGCCAGATTAAAGGATTGGAGCAGTCATCTCTCCAACCTAAAACTCTTAATCAGCAACTGTAATAGAGTCATTTGCTTCCTTGATACACAAGATGACAGAAGAGGTCTCTTCAACCCTGAGGCCAATCTGAGGGCTGCACTCAAGAGACAGCTGCAAACTTGGCTGCACTATAAAAATCTATACTGGAAAAAGCTTTATACGGTGAATCGAATCAGGTTCGGTGATGAATGTACAAAATTCTTTCATGGCATGGCAACAATATCATACCGTAGAAATACCATCTCGCAGATTATGAATGAGCAAAGAGTTTGGATACAAGACCATGACAGTAAAGCAGGCCTTCTTTGGAGTTCGTTCAGAAATCGCATGGGCACCACATCCTCGCCCACTATGCTCTTCGACCTTGCAAATTTGGTCATACCGATCAATGATCTAGATATGCTTGTTGCACCCATCCTTGATGAAGAGGTGGACTCGGTTGTAAAACGCATGCCCACTGACAAAGCACCAGGACCTGACGGGTTCAATGGCTTTCTTTCTGAAGAAATGTTGGCAATTCATTAAAGGTGATTTCTACTCCCTGTGTTCAAACTTCTTCTCTGGCCAAGCAAATATGGAGTGCATCAACACCTCCTACATCACTGTGGTGCCGAAGAAAGATAGCCCTGAGACTGTCAGTGATTTCCGCCCTATTTCGCTTATGAATATTACTCTCAAAGTCATCACCAAAATTCTTGCGGACAGACTACAGATGGTCATTTTGAGGATTGTCCATCGGAACCAATATGGATTTATCCGATCGCGCATGATACAAGATTGTTTGGCTTGGAGTTATGAGTATATACACCAATGTCACCATTCACGAAGAGAGATTATAATTATCAAACTAGATTTTGAGAAGGCGTTTGACACGGTGGAACACTCAACAATCATTCAGATTATGCTCCATATGGGTTTCCCAGACAGATGGTTACTCTGGGTTCAGGCCATCCTTTCATCTGGATCATCTGATGTGTGCTCCCTAATGGAGTACCCGGCAAGTTCTTCAAATGCAAGCGAGGAGTTCGACAGGGTGATCCACTATCTCCTCTCTTATTTGTGCTTGCTGCAGAGCTTTTGCAGATTCTAGCCAACCGAGCTGCTGCCATGAATTTACTTAGACTGCCTATCCCACAACCGAATGATGACTTTCCTGTGATTCAGTAAGCGGATGATACTCTTATGCTCCTCCAAGCTGATGCCAGACAGTCAGTCTTTCTCAAAGCATTATTGCACAGTTTTGCGGAATCGACAGGACTCAAAGTTAATTATAGTAAGTCCCATATGTACCCCATCAATGTTTCCAATGAGAGAATGGCACACCTTGCAAACACTTTTGGCTGTGATATAGGCACCATACCTTTCACTTACCTGGGATTACCCATGGGTACGACCAAGCCCCACATTGAGGACTTCACACCGATGATGGATAGAATTGAAAGAAGATTATCTGTGTGCTCAACTTGGCTCTCCTACTCTGGTAGGTTGGAAATGGTCAACTCTGTAATATCCCCCATCACCACATATGCTATGTGCACCATTAAATTGCCCAAGGGAGTCATTGATAATATTGACAGAGCAAGGAAGCAGTGCTTCTGGAGAGGCAATGATCCTGAGAAGAAGGGTGGAAACCTTGAGGCGTGGCCAACTGTGATGAAACCCAAAGAGAAGGGAGGTCTGGGTGTGATCAATCTTCACCTACAGAATGACGCTCTTCTCCTAAAGCAGCTGAGCAAATTTTATAACAAGGAAGACATCCCATGGGTACAGCTGGTTTGGAGCAAATATTATGACACAAAAGTACCCCATGCTGCAAGGGAAATGGGCTCTTTTTGGTGGAAAGATGTATTGCGCCTCAATGTCATCTTTAGAAGAATTGCTAAGTGTGAACTAGGGGAAGGCTCCTCAGTTTGTTCTTGGGAAGATCAGTGGTCTGAGTCAGTGCTATCTCAAAATTACCCAAGATTGGCTTCCTTTGCAACAAATGGTGATATTTCAGTAATGGAAGCGCTATGCAGGCTGATGACCTTGATAGCTTATTTTTTCTCCCGCTCTCGCAGCAAGCTTTTCAGGAGTTTGAGAGCCTACATGTCCGACTGCAACTGATCCCATATGATGATACTGCTACTGATCGGTGGGTGCCGACCTGGGGTAGCAAATACACTTCGAGGCGCTTCTACTCCCATATTTTCAGCATCGTGGAAGCCCATCCGATTTTCAAAGCGGGTTGGAAATCAAAATGCATCCCACGCATCAAATTTTTTGCATGGCTAGTTCTAGTCGACCGGTTGAACACCAAGTCGATGTTGAGGAGAAGGCATATGCACATCCAAGACAACATCTTACGTGTCATATGTAATGATGGGGAAGATGAGACCATTGAGCATCTGTTCTTTGCTTGTCCGTTCGCACAGGAGTGCTGGGGGGTTCTCAACTTCGTCTGGGACGGCTCGCTGCAGCTCATGGATAGGCTGGTGCATGGGAACTCGGTTCACAACCTGCCTTTCTTCACAGAAGCGGTGTTGATAGCGGCGTGGGAAATGTGGAAGATGCGCAATGACAAGGTTTCTCAGACGTGACAACCGAGTCCGAAAGCCTGGTTAGATAATTTTAAAAATTAATGTTACCTGCAATCTGTTCGTTTAAGGATGACTTGAGATCATCCTTTTGTATTTGGCTTGATGCCTTTAGTTAATACCTTGTATGTAAGTATGTTCTCTCCTTTAAATTAATATTAAATCTCACAGTGGGATTTCCCCAACAGTCTTTTGCTGTCAAAAAAAAAAAGTGTGCTACTAGGGAACGACCAAGTAGACGACCGGATGAAGGGTGAACGTGAACCGGAGCCTCACCAAACGTTTGAATGGCCTGTCACATCAGTCACCCACCCCATTCCACAACAGAAATGAGATCAGGTTAAAATGCCAGAACAGCCAGAGATTTTGCACTTTGCAGTTGCAGAACACGAGCAAAACACCAGCTTGTGAATTATCTTTGCACTTAGGTTCCTTGTTTGTTATGTGTACTTGTTTTGCTCTCTGTAAATAAAATTTACATTTAATTTAATTAGTACTCCCTCCGTTCTAAATTATAAATCACTTTTGATTTTTTTGATATATCCATTTTATTATGCATTTAGACATATTATATTTTAGATACATAGCAAAATGAATGTAAAAAAAAAGTCAAAGCGATTTATAATTTGGAACGGAGGGAGTAATAAAAGAAGTGTATGGCAAAATAACTCGCTATTGTGTTGTTAGTTTGCTACTACGCATGTAAAGTGAAGAAAGTTTGCGGGTTAAAATACCGGAAAACTAGACTAGTCTGTCTACAAAATCTGATCTACATATGTCCTTTTTTTTGTCAAAAGATCTACATGTCTTTGTAGTACTAGATTCTCGATCAGTTGTAACCAATCCGCCTTGACTTCAGCGAGGAGGTTGCGTCACTTGGTGCGTAAAATTATCGGCATGACGAGAGCAGTGACATCATATACAGGAGCGTACATGCATGAACACTAGTACTAATGTAGCGTAGGCCTCTATTTATAGCGAAGCTCCCGGTGGTGGTTGCGTATATCAAATCACAGCTCTGGTGTCTCCACAAACTCTCTTAACAAAGTGACTTCTACAAGATCTCCTCCCCGTCAGACACTCAGACATGATGGAAGGACACGTACGCGGGCAATATGAAAAAGAGTGAGCATCTCGCAATCTCCATGTTCTTGTTTGGCCCGTTTGCTAGTGCTCCTTTCTGGCTTAGGCGCCAGCTTTGGTTCCTCCGAGAAAGCCCTAACAAACGGTTTAGTAGGAGGAGCTGTTTTTCGTTTAGTAGGAGGAGCTGTTTTTCGGTGAGAGATGAGAGCCCCTTTGCAGAGAGTCATATTTCGGCTCCTCCGGAGGAGCCCTTCCAAACACACCCTTAATTTTAGTACTCCGTCTAAGCTATTGAGATTGTATTTCCAATCCAAAAGTACATATGATAATAAATAAATTTAATAGACACTTTTTGTGTGTATCTAAAACTTTGAGGACACTTTTCCTTTCTTTTTGTTCCAGGGTGGCCGTGGTTACCGGAGGGAATAGAGGGATTGGGTTAGAAGTATGCAAGCAGCTTGCTTCCAAAGGAGTCACGGTAGTATTGACAGCGAGGGACGAAAAGAGGGGTGCAGAAGCGGTCAAAAATCTTGCATCGCAGGGGCTATCCAACGTCCTGTTTCATCAACTGGAGGTTGGAGATCTCTCAAGTGCAGTACGTCTTGCTGACTTTATCAGGGAGCAGTATGGCAAGCTGGATATATTGGTATTGCCTCGTGTTTCTTTTCCAACATCACGAGTACATGTGAAGGATGTTGTTTCTGAATTTATGTTAAATCATATGTTGGTAGTCACTGGTTTGATACTTTGATTCTTTGCAGGTCAACAATGCAGGAATTGTCGGGACAACAACCGAGATCAGCGACCCAGAATCTTTTAAGCAAGAGGTTAGCTAGCTAGTTTATGTAACTTCATAAGCATTTCAACTGTCACTTCCAATTAGTTATCTTTAGAAAGTTCTAATATATTTATCTTCTTGATATATAGTTTTCGACACTAGCTAACAACTGTTTTCTGCATGTAAATAGCTTGCAGATATGGATGGCATGGAAAAGCTTGAATGGATCAGGAAGCACACTACGGAGCCTTACGACAAAGCAAAGGAGTGCTTGATTACAAACTACCATGGCACTAAAATTGTCACAGAAGCACTTCTTCCTCTCCTACAGTTCTCATCCCATGGAAGGGTTGTAAATGTATCATCTCATTTTGGACTGCTCAGGGTAATGCCTTGAATAAATGGCAAAATACAGATACTAGAACTTGATTTAATAATTAGACCACACTGCTTTTAAAAAAAATACTAATCCTTCTACATGGCTTCAGTTTTTCAGTGGTGAGGAACTTAAAAAGGAGCTCAACAACATTGATAGCCTATCAGTACAGAGATTAGATGAACTGTCAGAATTTTTCCTTAAGGACTTCAAGAATGGGCAACTAGAACCCCATGGGTGGCCGACTGAAGGAGGGTACCCTGCATATAAAGTGTCCAAGGCTCTTGCCAATGCTTATTCGAGAATCATTGCAAACAAGCACCCAGAACTATGTGTAAATTGTGTGCATCCCGGCTATGTCAGTACAGACATTAACTTCCACACCGGAGATCTCATGGTCGAGGAGGGCGCAAGAGGAGCTCTGATTCTTGCTTTCATACCCAAGGGAGGCATGACCGGAGCATACTTGAACTGCACAGAGGTTGCATCCTTCGTGTAACTCTTATGTTGGTGATTGGCCATAGGATGGGCCCCTCATGTTTGTTTTAAACACACAAAAAGGGTTTGCCATATAACACAATTATTGCAATATATAGTACTAGCCTATCAACCTATGCTTGTACGATAGTGAGATAATTGAAAGAAATGAATGCATAAGAATATAAGACAACTTTGTAACAGAATCACCATACAAATGATCGACATTTAGAATGAAGACATAGTTTTTTACATGATTGGACTCTTATGCTGCACAAACATAATTGAAAATTTATTCTTCAAAGTTTGGAGAAACATGACTTCATCTCCAATTAATGTGATATTTATTTAGGAAACTGCTTTGAGTACAATTACTTTGCAAATTTTTGTTCGGGCTTTGCATTTAGTCATGTGACTTTTGGTCCAGTTTTGACTCAAAAAGCTAGGCCCGCATAGGCAATGAGGTAACCAAAGCCTTAAATGAAGTCCATGCTGGAGTGTGTGCTACACACGAAACTAGATCCAAACTACACTACTCGCTAAAACATTTTGGTTACTATTGGCCTATAATATTTGATGATTCCATGAGATTTGTAGAAAGATGCCATGAGTGTCAAATACATGGTAATTTTATACATCAACCACATAACCGTCGTATGCGACCAATAATATGTCATGACCTTCTGAAATTTAGAAAATGAATGTAGTAGGGCCGATAAATTCTCCGTTCTCTAAGGGCCACAAATTTAACCTTGCCGTGACCGATTACCACTAAAAGAGGTCAAAGTAGAAAATGTAGTTAACTTTATAAGAACCAACCTCGTATAGATATGTTTTGGCTCAAATGATATCTAATAATGGTCTAGCAGCTGAGCCCCACGGTTGACTTATCAGAAAATGCCATATATCCTCTCTCTCTCTCTCTCTCTCTCAAACACAAAAAACTATAATGGGGTCCCAACCCATGAACCAAAATTGCAGGAGATTGGACCTCCACATTTGGTTCTTCTCAAACCAAACATTATCTTAGAAAAATATATAGAAATATTTTTGGATATTTTCCTATATTGACATACATAGGTAACTTAGATTTGAAGGTTACTTTAGTTTTTCTAATAATAGCGGAGGTGGCTAATGTAGAAGCAAACTAGAGAACTATTTTATATTATTTTTCATAATGGCATATAAGATTAATTTAAATGAAGATTATATATTACTTTATATTATTTTACATAATAAGAATGGTAAGCAATTTAGAACAAGATTTAGGGATTACCTTTTTTTTAGAATTACACAGAACAATACACACGCTGACAACGCACGTACACTCACCCCTATGAACATACGCACATAAACTCTATTCCTATGAGCATCTTTGAAGACTGAGCCGACAAAACCTTGAGATTGCCTCGCTATCCACAGGAACGTCGCCTACCACTGAAAGCACAAAAAACCGTTAAATCCCTGAAAGCACAAAAAGCCGTTAAATCATGGAAGATCCGCTCCCACTGGGAGACAAACCCAGGACCTGAGGTGCTATTGAGGCTCCTGTGACCATGACCAGTAGTCTACATGCCCTTTCGCATTTAGGGAGTACCCTAGATTGTTTTTATAATGCTAGAGACATGCGTCTTTTTGAGAGAGAAAAAGACCAGATCCTATGAGTAACAGCTATTATTGTGGATGATGACATAGTCTATTGAACATATGGTTTTTTTTAGATAATTTCTAACATTTGTTTTTTTTCATAGCACGCTTAGTGAGGATTGACCTAGAGGTTTTTTTTAGTCTTCAATTAGTACGCCTATATGTTGCTGTCTTTGTCTTAGAAAACTTGATGTTCTAGGATTTAAAACATGTCCTGAAAAACTTGTTTTAACTCTTGATAATAGATTGGGCCAGCTTGAGATTGCGGTTGCATACCTCTAAGTGTGTGTTTGGTTTGAGGACAAGATGGATGGGATATGGCCATCCATGGATTTTGGGATATTGATATCCATGTTGTCTGTTTAGTTGGATGATAGGGCGAGCCATTTTTCTGTTTGGTTGGATGTTGGATGGATGAGATTACATGGGATGAGAATACTTGACTAATTATATCTATTATTTAAAAGTAATAATAACTAATTATACCCTAATAAATATGCACTGACACTAATCTTGTCATTATAATCACTAATTAAAAATAAAATATGTTAATTAGCACTATACTACTCTAATTGTCACACAAAACATGCGCTAATCAACATGTGGATATCCTCATCCGCCAGATTTTTTAGGGCCAGGATATCCAGCATCTACCCAGAATATTTCCTTATTGTGGATATCTAGATTTAGCTTGTCCATCCAACCAAACACCCTGTGTCCATAGATATCCTTGTCCCATCCACGGATATCCATGGAATCAAACACACCATAAGCATTCCTTTCCTTAATTAATATGGTTCACCGTCGATTAATAGGGGTATGTTGTAACTTCCATTAAGCACTAATCTATATATCCTTAAAATTCTAAGACATGGACGAAGAAAGTAAAAAATTAAAGCTAAGAGTTCGTTAAGACCTCTGACTAGTAATGGTAAAATTTCTTTTTAGAAAAAGCCCCTAAATTTCCACTGTGGAAACTTTTGCTATCCTGCCTGTGGCGCTTTCTTTTATCTCGATTGTGATGAACTGTCCATGTTTACCTGTCTGATCTGTATCTGTGCTGCTCGGTTCCCTCACCTGCTTATGCTAGTCATAACATGGTCCTGTTCCTCTATTTTATCTTGCTATTAAATGAATACTCATAATTGGAACATCTTATGTTGGAACATTCGTGGCATTAATGTATCAGAGAAATGGGATGCGGTGCGAGATAAGATTGAAGAAAGCGCTTGTTCAGTTATCTGTCTTCAAGAAACGAAGAAAGAAAATTTTGATATTTGTTTCGTCAGAAAGTTTGCTCTACGCCGTTTTGACAAGTTTGATTTCATTCTTTCAGTGGGTGCTTCGGGAGGCATTCTGGTCCTCTGGAATAGTGCTATTTTTTTTGGGCCTGGTTGTTGACAAAAGAAGCTACTAGCGAACGACCAAGTAGACGACCGGATGAAGGGTGAACGTGAACCGGAGCCTCACCAAACGTTTGAATGGCCTGTCACATCAGTCACCCACCTCATTCCACAACAGGGCCTTGTTTAGATTGCAAATTTTTGTAATCCGGATACTGTAGCACGTTTCGTTTGTATTTGACAAACTTTGTCCGATCATGGACTAACTAGGCTCAAAAGATTCGTCTCGTGATTTACAACCAAACTGTGCAATTAATTATTTTTTTACCTACATTTAATGCTCCATACATGTGTCCAAAAATTGATGTGATGGAGAGACTGAAAAAACTTGGAATTTTGATGGGATCTAAACAAGGCCCAGAAATGAGAGATCAGGTTAAAATGCCAGAACAGCCAGAGATTTTGCACTTTGCAGTTGCAGAACACGAGCAAAACACCAGCTTGTGAATTATCTTTGCACTTAGGTTCCTTGTTTGTTATGTGTACTTGTTTAGCTCTCTGTAAACAAAATTTACATTTAATTTAATTAGTACTCTCTCCGTTCTAAATTATAAATCACTTTTGATTTTGTTTTGTATATCTATTTTATTATGCATTTAGACATATTATATTTTAGATACATAGAAATATGATTATAAAAAAAATCAAAGTGATTTATAATTTGGAACGAATGGAGTAATAAAAGAAGTGTATGGCAAAATAACTCGCTATTGTGTTGTTAGTTTGCTACTACGCATGTAAAGTGAAGAAAGGTTGCGGGTTAAAATACCGGAAGACTAGACCAGTCTGTCTACAAAATCAGATCTACATATGTCTCTTTTTGTGACAAAAGATCTACATATGTCTTTGTAGTACTGGATTCTCAGTTGTAACCAATCCGCCTTGACTTCAGCGAGGAGGTTGCGTCACTTGGTGCGTAAAATTATCGGCACGACGAGAGGAGTGACATCATATACAGGAGCGTACATGCATGAACACTAGTACTAATGTAGCGTAGGCCTCTATTTATAGCGAAGCTCCCGGTGGTGGTTGCGTATATCAAATCACAGCTTTGGTGTCTCCACAAACTCTCTTAACAAAGTGACTTCTACAAGATCTCCTCCCCGTCAGACACTCAGACATGATGGAAGGACACGTACGCGGGCAATATGAAAAAGAGTGAGCATCTCGCAATCTCCATGTTCTTGTTTGGCCAGTTCGCTAGTGCTTCTTTCCGGCTTAGGTGCCAGCTTTGGCCCCTCCGAAGAGGCCCCACCAAACGTTTTAGTAGGAAGAGTTGTTTGGAGCCGTTTTTCGGTGACAGAGGAGAGCCTCTTTGCAGAGTTAGACTTTGGCTCCTCCGGAGGAGCCCTTCCAAACACACTCTTAATTTTAGTACTCCGTCTAAGCTATTGAGATTGTATTTCCAATCCAAAAGTACATATGATAATAAATAAACTTAATAGACACTTTTGGTGTGTATCTAAAACTTTGAGGACACTTTTCCTTTCTTTTTGTTCCAGGGTGGCCGTGGTTACCGGAGGGAATAGAGGGATTGGGTTAGAAATATGCAAGCAGCTTGCTTCCAAAGGAGTCACGGTAGTATTGACAGCGAGGGACGAAAAGAGGGGTGCAGAAGCGGTCAAAAATCTTGCATCGCAGGGGCTATCCAACGTCCTGTTTCATCAACTGGAGGTTGGAGATCTCTCAAGCGCTGCACGTCTCGCTGATTTTATCCGGGAGAAATTTGGCAAATTGGATATATTGGTACCGCATTCGTTTCATAATGATAATATTCCTTTCCAACGTCAGTACGTCACTACACAACATGTGAAGGATGTTGCTTCGGAATTGATCATGAATCATTGGTAGTTGTTGCTTTGATTATTTTCAGGTCAACAATGCAGCAATTGCCGGGTCCAAAACAGAGATCAGCAATCCGGAATCTTTTAAGTTAGAGGTTAGTCTGTGACTTCATAAGCAATTTAATTTTACTTTCAGTTATTATGCATGTCTACTTAGAGAATTATATATTTATCCTCTTGATACCTCCTACAATGAAATGGACTCACAATTTTCGCTGCATGGAAATAGCTTGCAGGCATGAATGCCCAGGAAAAGCTCGAAAGGATTAGGAGGCACACCACAGACCCTTACGACAAAGCAGAGGAGTGCTTGAGAACAAACTACCATGGCACCAAAATTGTCACAGAAGCGCTTCTTCCTCTCCTGCACCTCTCATCGCATGGAAGAATTGTAAACATATCATCTCGTTTCGGACTACTCAGGGTAACAATTAAATTAACTGCCTTCAAGAAATGATGCAAAGCCATGCTAGAACTACATTCAATGGTTATATACACTGATACCACATTTTGCATTTACAAAACACTAATCGGTTTAATTACACGGCTTCAGTTTTTCCGTGGCGAGGAACTTAAGAAGCAGCTCAACAACATCGATGACCTATCCGAAGAGAGATTAGATGAGCTGTCATTATTGTTCCTCAACGACTTCAAGAATGGCCAGCTGGAACCCTATGGGTGGCAGACTGAAGGAGGGTATCTCGCATATAAAGTGTCCAAGGCTCTTGTCAATGCTTATTCGAGAATCGTTGCAAAGAAGCACCCAACACTTCGCGTGAATTGTGCACATCCCGGCTTTGTTAGTACAGACATGAGCTTCCACACCGGAGATCTCACGATCGAGGAGGGCGCAAGGGGAGCTCTGATTCTGGCTCTCGTACCCAAGGGGGGCATGACTGGAGTGTTCTTGAACCACACAGAGGTCGCATCCTTCGTGTAACTCTCTACCGGGAAAACCTTAAATTTTGTCGTAGGGTGTGCCCCTCCTGTTTCTTTAAATAAAAATGTCTGCATGTAGAAGCTGTCACCAAGGAATCAGCTACCTACTCATACATAACAAATACAGTCTTCGAATACTCCAGTAGGATGCAAAACTGAAAAACAAAGGTACTTGTCGTATGATGCCAGTGGAGTGCCAACTAACGAAGCAAATTTTTTTTTTCGTTTTCTGGATGATTCATTATCATAGAGTCGAACTCCACTCACACAACTGCAAGAAACGACGCTAACACAAATAACTAGTACAGAAGGGACATACAAGTTGGACGGAAGCATCATGCAAAGTTTTTTTTTTTCTGGCAAAGCTTGCGTGCAAAGACTGCGACTCTTCAAATAAGTTCAATGTATCATCAAACAAGCCATACCTCTGTCACCTACAAGACATTCCTCCGGTCACGTTGACAGCGAGAAACACCACGGCCTCCTGGTTCGTCATAGTTGATAGCTCCGGCACTGACTCACCAGCACGCCACAGCACAAGAATTTCAAAGACATAAGACCAAAAAGCACCAACGAAAGCATCCAGCTTGCACACGAGACGGCAGTCGAGAGATACCTTGATCTGGGGAGCGGCGACTGCAGATGACAAGACGGAGAAAAAGCTTCGCCGGGAGGGGGGGGGTGGGGAGGGTTCCCAAGTGCGCAACGCAGGTGGAGCAAGTAGCAGAACGACGCCGCATCCGCACGTCCGTCGGTGACTCGGTGGCACGACACGCAGTGTGGCGGCAGAGGAGACGAGGTGGACCGGGTGACAAAGGATAAGGTCAACCGCAGTGGGTGACGGCCGACGTGGATCTTGCTGTCGCTAAAGTCGACCTCGACCATGCCGACATCGCCGGGCACCAGGCAGCTCGCCGTCATGCGCGCACATCCCTGTCGCTCTCCTCCCGCGGCGATGCTCGATCCCCCTGGCCAGGTCCTCTCCTCGGCGGCGGGACGGTCGGACGGAGGCGGCCTGATGGGGAAAGGTGCGGCGGCGGGCGGCGCGACCGCATGCGGTGGGCCGAGTGCGGCGTTTTCTATTGCGAACTTTATACGCCTACAGACTAAGATGGGGTACGAATTTGTATTTGTATACGTACTATATGAGGAGGTGAAATTATTGGAGTACCTTATATTTTTTAATCTTCTACATACACCTAAAAAGTAACAAAGGTTATCGTCGAATCCCAAGTTAATTAGCCCTGCCTCTAAGACCTGACATCAAGTCCGTGTCGCACCTGAGATCGAGTCCGCGTCGCACCAGCTTAAACGCGAGTCCGGCAGCCCTGCCCGCGTAGGCCCGCGCCTGAGATCGAGTCCGCGTTGCACCAGCCGTGGCTAAAAATACTGTTGACTAATTTATTATGAGAGAAAAATATTGTTTGTTGATAAAAAAAAGTACGGCTATAAACAGGACGTTAATCGAAGTGCAATGGGAAGGGACTTAGTCTGCTGGCCTACACATGCGATGTGCGTGATGGCAGATAGCACGTGCTTGGCATCGGGCGGTCGTGCCTCTAGGCGGCAGCAATAGACATGCAGCAGCGGAGGCAACAATCTAGAACCAGCCAGTCCTCTCCGATCTGGTTAAATCATCAGGGCCATTTTCTAAATTAGAAAAAAAAATGAGAGCGTTAAAGCATAAGGGCTATGTGCTAAATTAGAAAAAATAAGAGTGATAAACTTCGTCCCAAAATAAATCAACCTCCTAAAAAAATCAAAAAAATTATCTGTAGTATGATAAATGGTGAAAATATTTAATTTTTCTTTTAAATTTTGTATGCCCGTGAGCCCGTCTTAGATTAATTAATTCCTTTATCTCATCACAGACAAATAGTATCGCAGGCAGCTGAAAGAGAGTGCGTGCTCTTGCTCGGAGATAGATGAAAGGGGCCAGAGGATAATGATTGAGAGAGGGCGACAGAGAGAGAGTGGGCAGCGGAGACCGCTCCCTCGGCGGTCGCAATCTCCGTCGGTTTCACTTCGTAGATCAACGGATCAATTGAGCGACACGAAGGTAAGTTCTTCTGACAACTTGGAAGGAGATGGGACGGAGGATGAGAGCGGCGAATAGAAATTCGTCGCTGGCTGTAGTCGTTGAAGAACATCCGACCCTGCAGGAGACCTCCGTCCCATGGGAGCAAGGTCTAGGTTTTGGGCTTTGGCGGACGATGATGACTCCGACGAGGAGGTCACGTCCCAATCGCCATTTACACCGGACCTAGTTCAACATGCAGCTGTCCATGGCTTCTCTAGGGGGCACAGCTGTATGAGGCGGAGATGGAGCTGCAAGACTCGTCAGTTCGCCGGCGAAAAGAGGAACCTGTCACGCCGGGTTCCATGAACACAAAAAGGCTGTAATGGTCAGGAACATTATGAAGGCGCTGACGGATGTGCGCCGGACGGCGGGGAAGCCATGGTCCGGGAAATTACCGCCACCAAGGGCCTCGCCGATGATGACACTCGGTGACTGTGCGGTTAGGGTTGGGAGTGGCCGACGGTCAGTCATTGGGGGCACTCTCACGCAGGCCTTGCAGCAGCTTCCCTCACCATCACCGGCGATGGGGACTGCCGGTGATCGAGTTCAAATTCAAACTCCGTGTGATCCGATTTCACCGCATGGCAAGGAGACTGCGTATCTGTCCGAAAATCTCGCTGGGTCGGGTGGACCTCGGGATGAGGACCAACGTGGGCCTCGTGTGCAGATTGGGATGTAGGACCTGTCGCTACAGCAAATTGGCCCGGCGCTTCTTACTGGGCACGTACGACCTAGACACAATCAATGCAAGAACCCTAGCCGCCACTCCCTCTCCGGTTTTTCCCTCTCGTACGTTCACGTGGTGCTTTCAGGCATGGCGATGGCGGGCGCAGGAGGTGCGGGCAACAGTGGCAGTGGCAATGATGGTGACGGTGCTGGGGGACGGGGATTCGGAGCCGGTCGTGGTGGAGGTCGCACAGGTGGTGGTGGAGTCGTGCGTGGTGGTCGACATGGCCACGGCGGCGGGTACGGCTACAACAACGACAACGAGATTAAAGTTCTATTCCCTACAAAAGCTGACCTTACTAAGATGACAAGGTTTAATGCAGAGATGAAGGAAGGGGTGACGAATCTAAGGAAGAAGAGGAATATTTTGGGCATGTGTTGCCAATGGTTTGGATGCGGGTCACGAATCTACCAACGATTCTGAGGGAATATGTCATTTTGTGGTCACTAGGAACTCTCTTTGGTGTCACTCAGGAGGTGGACATGGTTACCACGAGAGCTAGCAACTTTGGACGGTTTGCAGTGGCGGTGCTGGAACCTGATGCAATCCCGACAAAGCTAGATGTCATCATTGGCAACAGATACTTTCAGCTGCTCTTTGAGGTTGAACCATTTTCACCAAACATTGGATTGCGGAGCAGAGTGACCACTCAAAATGAGGGGATTAAAGATCACTGTTTTGGGGCAGCGAAGGACATCGAGATGAAGGAGGCAGAAAATACCACAGCCTCTATTTCATCAGATGCCAACATTGGGAACACAGGAGGTAGTCATGAGACTGGAAACGGAGATCATGAGGCACAAATGATGGAAGATTTTTCAAATGAGGATTTGCTAGAAGAAGAAAATGAACTGAGTGATGCAGCTTATACTTTTTTAGGGGTTCAGAAAGGGAATTCGGTTGAGGTGAGGAATGCGGCAACTCTTGCAGCTTCGGCACCGACACGTTTGTCGTCTAGACCAAGTGGGAAATCGGTGAACGCAGTTTCAATGACTCAGAAAATTACACAATCCTCTCGGGCGGAGAATTCAGAGGTTTCTGCAATGGATGGAACAATGGGAAAGGTGCAGCGACCCATAGGAACACTGCCGGCTACTGATCTAGGCGCTAAGGGGCTGCATACACAGGCTGGGGAGGCAAACTCAAAGAAAGTGCATAACTTGGGTATGCCGAGTACGCCGGCTACTGGAGCTGCAGTTCGGGAGACCAAATTTGCTCCTCCCAGGCAGCCGTCTGACATGATGGTTGAGGCACAGATGGAAGTTTCACTTGGGCATTTTGATGGGCCAACAGAAGGTTTGCTCACAGGTGACGCACAGCACTGTTGTGATCTTCCTGATGCATTGCTGGAGGCAGGAGTAGCGGCAGATGGTGAAACAAAAAATGAACTGGGAAGTGTGATGAAGATGGCGGTTTTGTCTGACGGAGAGCTCAATCCAGTGCGGCGTAGCAAGCGGAATGTGGACGTGGCGGATGTGGACTCATTCGAGAGGGTGGAAAGAAGAGTTGCTGTCAAGAACCTCGAGCAACCCCAAGGTATTTTTGAAGTTCATTCCTTTTGTTCTTTTTCTAACATTCATATTGAGGAGAACCTAGGGGGAGTGGGCATTAGTCTCGGGGTAATGATAATTTAATTCTTGGGTCTATTTCTTTAATCAAAGATGTTGAAGAAGAAAGA